TATGAGTTTTCTCTGTGAGGACATTTCTGAGGAAATGCTTCCGTTTGAGCACGATCGAAATCAACCACCGACACTGGCGTTTCAGGTACTAAAACGAGCTGGTCGTCTATAGGTAGTCGAGAATAATCGATAATTCACTATACAGGGATATGAACAGCGTTGCCGTCTTAATTTATTCATTTAGCTAGTTGAAATCTTTTAACAGCTTTTCAAAATTCAACTGATTTCAACAGTTCAAACATTGTTCCTTCTTCATATCCATGATGTGTTGAAAGTAACCAGTAGAACTCCCAATTCGTCCCAGGAAACTAGGAACTCACGACGAAGGCCGTGAATGAAGATCTTGCTAAAATTACAGCCTGGGGAACAACAACCCAGTCGTATTCAACTTCGCGAAAACTCAAGCGTATATTCCTTAGAAACGTCGGACTCAGTATTCCTGATATAACAACTTCTGGTACCACTATTGTTCTTCAGACACCTCAGCTATCATTCCATGACTAGCAATACCAGTCAGACGAACTCGTTAAACATAGTTTGCACATCCTTTTGTCATCAACCTCGAGATATGTCGAACAACTCTTTACCCTCGTTTTTTTATAGAACGGCAAAGCTTTGGAATTCTCTGCCGAAGGAAGTATTCCCAAGAACTTATGAACCCCAAAAGTTAGGAAAAGGTATTATGATGTCAGTACTGGCTAGACGAGTGTACCGCTATGTTTGAACGTTCCATGAAAATCTAGGATCTAGGGTATTCGCATGGTGTTTTTCAGAGTATCACAGTATATCTTGTCACTTTTAAATTGAATTCTCGCGATAATGTTCTTACCTATTCAACAAAGGATAAATGGCATTTGACCTTGAACAGTGTATTTTTCTTCATTCACAAGAGTATTTTGGGAATGTTCTGCTATTTGGGAAACTGAATTTGTCAACCTTTTATTAGAATAGGGCATGAAATTGAAGCTGTGTGTCAAAATAAAGGATACTTCCGACTGTATGTTTGGACAAAACATAATCCTATGTGTTATTTTCTAATCGTTTGAAACGGTACGTTAAGGTTTCTGTTCATTTCTGATAACTTTCAGCTGACCTTCGCTGATATAGACAACTTTTCTGATCACCGATGGGATCATATTTTTGTCTTTTGTTTTCATGTTGATTCCAAATCATTTTTATTTCAGATAAAAACAATCTGGAGAGTTCCGGCACTTTTTTCATTATCTATAGTACAATGGTTTCTGTATGAATGATTATAGTCTTGATTGGATCCTAAACATGCTTGGCATTTCTTGATGCAAAATTTGATAATTCTTATCATACACTTTGGACTTCTTTATAATAATAATGATAATCATTTAAATTTATTGAAACACTTAGTTGTCTGTATAAAAAGAAATTGTTCATATTTGATACAATTTCTCGTATATTAATTTTTTCCTATTAGAATTGTGGCATTGTTTTCCTTTTTAATGTGTGATAACATTTTTGTTATTATTACAGGAGATAAAATATAAATAGTTCGAATAATCTCACACTTGCAATAATAGGCTCAGTTTTTATTCATTCCAATAAATCAGTATGTATAGGTACTGATAATTTTGGAATTCGGACTAGAATGCACTATTTTCTTTTGGTTATATCTTTATCGATGAATCACGATGAAATATTTGACAATGCTTGTTTTCACTACCTATAAGTTAGCACACTAACTTGCATTCCGTTAACGTTTTTTTGTAGTTGTTTAGATTACTTAATGAGCAGTTGTGTAACACCTTTCAATTTTTATTTCAACCAAATAAATTTCATCATTTTGAAAGTATATCGAAATGGTGAATCTATGTGTTTTTTTATACAGGGTGAGTCATGAGGAACTGTACATGCTCCTACTACGAATAGAGGCATCTGAGGGGAATACCAAATGACCATCAGAAAGTGTCTCCGCCTCTTCTAAAATAATCTATAGGGTGATTAATGAGATATGGCAAAAACTTCTTTCAATCATAACTTTCCAACAGTTCTTTCGATTTCTTTCATTTTTCCATGGATTATCATGCTGTCACTCAGCAATCAACTGACGTATTCAGAATCGTGAAAATCCAGGACCGGTCTTGAGAAATTCTGCCAATTTGGTCCATATAAAAAATTTCACCCTGTATGATGTTTTAGTAAACTGTGATATGGAATTTCTAAAGTTGATGAACAGGCAACTAAAATGAAGTATTTCAAATTTTCCTCACAATTTCATTGAATTTCTTAAAAAATTATTAATTTAAACTACACACGAAACTTGGGCAATAAATGTATTAATTTGAAAATTAATACTTCGCAACGCATGAATTTCACGAATGAAAGTAGGGATAATATCATTCTCAATTCTTCAGCTCAACAATAATCAACATTCTTTTATTTCCAGGGTTGGATTCAGTAATTTTTTAGTAGAGAGTAATAATCACCAAAAATTACACCCTGTATATGGTTTTAGTAACCTGTGATATGGAATTGTCAAAGTTGATGAACTGGCAACCAAAATTGAGTATTTCAAATTTTCCTCAGAGTTTCACAGAATTTCTTAGAGTACGATCAATTTTCACTACACGTGAAACTTTCGCAACAAATGTATTAATTTGAAAATGAATACTTCGCACTGCTAGAATTTCACGAATAGAAGCAAGAATAACATCATTTCCTATTCTTCAGTTCACTGAAAATCAACATTCATCTATATCCAGGGTTGGATTCAGTAAATTTTTGGTACATGGTAATAATCACCAAAAATTGCACCCTGTATATGATTTTAATAAACTGTGACATGAAATGTTCGGAGTTGACAAACAAGAATCAGGAATAATTTTACCCTTACTTTTATTCGTGAAATTCATGCATTGCGAAGTATTAATTTTGAAATTAATACATTTGTTGCCCAAGTTTCGTGTGTAGTTTAAATTAATCATTTTCTAAGAAATTCAATGAAATTGTGAGGAAAATTTGAAATACTTCATTTTGGTTGCCTGTTCATCAACTTTAGAAATTCCATATCACAGTTTACTAAAACCTCATACAGAGTGAAATTTTTTATATGAACCAAATTGGCAGAATTTCTCAAGACCGGTCCTGGATTTTCACGATTCTGAATACGTCAGTTGATTGCTGAGTGACAGCATAATAATCCAAGAAAAAATGAAAGGAATCGAAAGAACTGTTGGAAAATTATGATTGACAGAAGTTTTGGCCATATCCCATAAATCACCCTATAGATCATTTTAGAAGAGGCGGAGACACTTTCTGATGGTCATTTGGTATTCCCCTCAGCTGCCTCTATTCGTAGTAGGAGCATGTACAGTTCCTCATGACTCACCCTGTATACCATTCGATTTTTTTGTATAGAATAGAAATTGCACACTACCGATGAAAATTCAGAATCTCATATTTTGCCTATTCAAAAATGTTTGTTTTATTTTCTATTTTAGAGCTTATATACAGGGTGTTGCGAAATTCGACCGACAACGCTTGACAGGTGATAGCCCTCGTGATTTCATAATCACTGAGATAGGGACATACGGTCTTCAAGTGTTCATTTCTCCAGATACAGGACGTTGAATTTAAGAAATTTAAATAGGTTTCTCGCAATATCTCATGAAAAATTGAATATAATGCATTCAAATTCGGTATAATATGGTTTCATCTTTCAATGGTTAATTTTTTGACCAGAAAGACATTCCGAAAATGTTATCCAGAGGTGTGCTACAGAGGGTTGTGATAACTTTTCCTCCCATATTTTCTACTCCACTGTTGAAATTTCGATTATTTCCAATTTCTCGAATCGATTGTTCAATTATTTTGAAAAACTGCATCATCTTCAACTGATTTTCGGGATTGTGCCTTTGCACAAAAATTGGTTAAAAAAATGGGGCTGATTTTTTCAGGCAAGAGTTCAACCCTACATCCCATTTGAACTATTGAAATAATCAATAATTTCTTCCAGGTGAACATGGAAGAAACATTGTCTATGTGAATGCTACTATTTTACATCTCACATCTAATGGTTTTACTAGACAACAACGTTTTTGTGCTTGGCTTCGCTTTCTGTTTCTCTTCCTTTTTCGTATGCCACGACACTTGTCGATAATATACAATCTGCGCTCAAAATCAATTAACAATCAATGAACCTGTTTAGTAGGCAACCATTATCATAAACAGATAACAAATAAATTGCCAAAACAGGAGGGTTGTAGGGGTTGCATTCTTGCCCTACAAAATCAGGTGTCCTATAGGGGTCATGAAGCAAATCTGAAAGCATACATTCACTTAGATCTTTCGGGTTTCAAATCATGTCATTGATGAACCACTGACAAAATTGATATATAGGTAATGCATGACATCAAAACAACCGCGTTATGTATTTTCATTAACCTTTCTAAAGCTATTGATACAGTTTGGTACGAAATCTTGTTAGAAAATTATCTGTCGAATTGCCAACAACACGTTGATATGAACTGTGTCATCTAACAACCAAGGAAATTGACTTACAGAGTGCCTCAGGAAACAGTTCTTGGACCAGAAATGTTCATAATTCACATTAATAGTTTCATTCATAGTATGTGGAGTTCTCCAGCGATACTGTTGAACATTCTAGTCCTCACCTATGAGTCTATCCATTCAACAGCTCTGTCTCTCATCCCTAGTCTCTTCATCGTATAAAATGAGAAATTTGTACTGACGGCATCAAAGGCTGACGTGGGAATAAAAACAAACCTAAAACTATTTTCAATGTCATGTATATGGAATATGTGAAATTTAAGACATGATACTGGATAGGAACATAGCCACTTGATTGCAAAATGATAATTTCAGGTGTTTGGACCTGCCTGTCGGAGACCAAATAGATTTTTTATTTTGTTATTTCGATTTCAGTTTGGCTCAGGAAAGCTTGTCATCCTGGCGGAGCAGTACGCATCTTTTACCAATAGATATTATTATCATTATTATTTAATTTTCAGACAACCAAGTCTTTCGTCCCTGCACAGGTCCAGTCTTCTTCATCTTCCGCTTCGACATCCAAAGAAAGGACTCCACAACAGCAACACCACAATGAAGAGCACGACGACAAGAGGAAGCCCACTAAGCAGAAGTGGGTGCCTATGGAGATCGAGCTGCCGAAGGCAAACAAGAACGAGAGGAGACGTGGCGATAATAGGGCTAATGATGAGAGGTCGACTGTCAGTGAGGGTGATAAGGTCAGTGATCAGTTTCATTCAAATGTTCAATGTATGGAGCTATTTTACCAATTATTATAATTGACACTGTCCAATCTATAGACGTATTTTTCCAAGGAGACGCAGCATCTCATTCATGAAACTAAATTTTGGTTACCCATGCAGGTGTCAATTTTCGGCTTAGACGCTTGCGTGTTATGTAGGGTAATTTGTGAAATCATTTGAAAACACCAATAATTGTACCTATTGAAATAATAGGTATATGAAAACTTCACAAACGATAGGATTTCCACAAAATTCTTGAACACACAACATGTTTCGCTAATACAGTAGCTTTGTCAGGTGATACACTCTTTGAGTTTTCATCACTCAAACTATCATTCGAACTACCAACCCGCATTCCCGATGTCAACACCCAGTCTGCCAATACACTACATCTTTTTCTCACCAGCAATCCTGATCCATATAGAATAGAAGTTTGTCCCCACTTGGAAACTCTGACCACACCCTCAGCTCCACAACCTGCTCTTTCCATTCAATTCATATCAATCAATCAATCAATCAAAATATACTTTATTGTCTGAAGAATAAAATTCTCATTGACAAAGTCGAACATGCTTATATATATACATATAAAGAAATAAAGTAGAGTATAAAAATGAAACCCTACATTGTATAAATAAAACTAACACAATATAGTGAACAATATAAAACACATTAAAATTACAAAAACTGTTGAAACCAAAGAATATAGTTAAAAGTTTTAAATCAAAAACAACAGGATATCAGCAATGTGAATTATTTTAGGAATTTTTCTGAAAAGAATTCGTCTAAGGAGTAGCAAGCCTTTTCAATTAGAATACTTTTGACCGATTTTTTAAACATTTTTGGGTTATTGATACATTTTACCTCATCAGGCAAATGGTTATACAATTTTCTGCCATTGTAAATGAAAGATTTTATTATTAATGTAGAGCTAGGTATTGGTATATTTAAATTATGTGCCCGTCTTGTATTATAGTGTGTAGTAATATGATTTTCGTTTTTATATTTTCGGTGTATGAGACATACCGTTTCCAGAATGAAAATACATGGAAGAGGTAATATTTTGTGCTCTATGAATAATGGCTTGCAAGAATCCCTGAATCCAGCTCTACACATGTATCTCACGGCTCTTTTTTGTAGGACAAAAATCACATCAAACAAAGTTTTACTACATGAACCCCAGAAACAAATTCCATATCTCAAATGTGAATCAATGAGAGCAAAGTATACACTTTTGGCCATTTCTCTACCAAGTTCCCATGATGTTGTTCTGACTGCATAACAGCCAGATGACAACTTTTTCCTTAATTTGTCAATATGGTCACTAAACTTCAATTTATTGTCAATGTGTAAACCTAGAAACTTCGTATCTATTCTATTACTGATTACTTGATTACCTAACTGAAGTTCTCCCTGCAGAGTGCAATTGAAAGTTAGGACACTTGTTTTAGAGATGTTAAAGGACAACATATTAGAATCGCACCACTTTTTCACCTTAGCAATATCGTTACTAATTGTTTGTTGTAAGTCATAACTATTTCTACTGTGCCAAAATAGTGTGGTGTCATCTGCAAATTGGGTAAATTTTCCTATAATATCGATCGACGCTAGGTCATTGATGTATAACAAAAAGAGGATAGGTCCAAGCACAGATCCTTGAGGCACTCCCCAACTAACCTCCAAACTACATGATATTTTACCTTGAAGGGACACACTTTGGGTTCTTTCGAATAAGTAAGAAGTGAACCATTGCGAAACTGAATCCCTGAAACCATATCTTTCTAATTTTTGAAGCAGAAATTTGTGGTTGACACAGTCGAAAGCCTTAGAAAGATCACAAAAAACTGCAGCCGCAGCTTCCTTATCATTCAGTTTGAGATACACATGTTGTAATAGATTGAAAATTGCATCATCAGTACTCTTAGCAGTCTGGAAACCAAATTGGGCAGAATTGATGCTGTTATGCTTATTTAAAAAAATCATCATCCTAGTTTTTACAAGTTTTTCAACTATTTTCGACAGTGTGGGTAGCATTGAGATAGGCCTAAAGTTTGCGGGATCATTTGTATCACCACCTTTGTATAAAGGAATGACGATTGCGTTTTTAAGGCACCGAGGAAAAACTCCTGTAGTGAACGAAATATTAATGGCATCCACTAATGCCTCAAGAGCGGTGTCCGGTTGGTTCAGAAATATTTTTATTGACAAATCATCCCATCCAGACGCATTTTTATTTTTTATGTCATCAAAAGTTTGTTTCAATTCAAGAATGTCTGTGGGAGCAAAATAAAATGATTCAGAAATAGAAATATTATTCATGTAAGACAATGGATCTGTAGTGGGGTGAATATCTTTTGAAAGGATGTCTGCCACTGAACAATAATAGCCATTAATATCATCACTTCCAAGATCCGTCTTTATAGGAATTGACTGATTTTTTCTTCCCCCTCGTAGTTCCTTAATAATGGCCCAGCTCTCTTTCTGCCTATCTCCAGATTTCTCTATTTTTTGTCTATAATGTATTTGTTTAGCAATTTTGAGAGTTCTCCTGTAAATTGATCGATATTTGTTATAATATGAGTTGAAGGCTTCATTACCGATGGCAAATTTTCTTACCGAGTGTAAGAATCGCAGATTTTGTGCTGATACTCTAATACCTCTAGTTATCCACGGTTTTCTAGGTTTACTCTTGATATTTCTGATTGGGAATGCCCTGTTAAATACATACGACAACATTGAATGGTATTTCGTTAGAGGATCATCTCCTCTCATGACTTCACGCCAGTCAAGTGCATTACAAAGTTCCTTGAATTTGTCAAAATTTTTTTTGCAATATATTCTTCCTTTATAATATTCTTTTTTACTAGGGATTCTGAGATCATGTGGCACAGTGCATAAAATTGCTTCATGGTCTGAAAGGCCAGCATTGGTCACATAACATTTTATATTCTCAATATTTGAACAAACATAATCTATAATTGAACTAGAATATCTGGAATAACGAGTGGGAGAATCAATATGCATAACTAGATTAAAACTATTCAATATATCGTCTAGTGACTGCGTTGCATTTGAAGTTTTATCTCCATAATCTATGTTGAAATCACCTGTGAGTATTACAGAGGCATTATAAGGAATCTGTACTAACAGTATTTCTAGTCTTTCTAAAAAAAGATTGACATTCGATGAAGGTGAGCGATACAGGCAAATTATAATTATATTTGGATTTTTGCAATGAACAGCGCAAAATTCAAACTCTTTTTCTACTAGCATTGAATCAAAATTTCTCATTTCATTAACATCAAGTTCGTATGTTATATCTGTATGAAACAGAATCAGTGTTCCCCCATGCTGACTGTAGGTCCTTGAGTATTTAGAGATAGTATTGTAGTTTGGTATATGAATAGGTTCTTCATTGTGTAGCCAGTGCTCTGTCAATAATACTATATCCGGAAAGTTTTTATTCTCTAAAAATATATATAGTTCGTCTGCTTTGTTTCTTACTGATTGGATGTTCAACAACATTAGGGATACACATTTTCCAGAGTTTTTACTCCTAAAAAAGATTTTTGATTATCCTGCTCAGTGGAGCATGGTAACAAGGTATTTCCTAGATCATTTTCAGACAAAGTTGCATTTAATGTTGAATTTGTATTGTTAGTGTCATTAACCGTTATAATAAAATCAGTTATATGTATTGTTTTCAGACAAATCTTACTATTCTTTGGCGCATGAAAATAATTTTCTAGTTTATTGCACAGCTCAAATTTACTCCCCTTCTTTTTTGTATCAACAAAAAACATAATAGAACAACTCCTTGTAGATCGTGAAGTACGGTTCACCGCATGCCTAAATTTATTGATCAAAATTCTATCTGTTGGAGTATCACATTCAGATACTATTATTAAGTTTGTAGTTTTACTGATGAGCAAAATGTGTTTCAAAGCTAAGTTAAAAGATTTGCTATTGCTAATATTTTTAGTGTTAAACATCACTATAACATAATCATTTTCGTCATAACATATGGTATAATCAAATAAATTACTTGTCAATACCGCTAACTCATATTCTGGTTTGACAATTTCCGAGATTTCATAATGTGAACTGTTCAAAAGTTTCATTAATACTGGTGGGAAGCCTACCGCGTATTGATCACCTATGATTAGAATTTTTCGAACATCTCTTTCTTGCAAATTCAAATGTCCATTTTGATTGCTTATTTCAAATGGTGATATATCCTGTGGATTTGAATCTTTCATTTCCACAATCGTTTCTTGAAGACCATCTTGCCGATCCAATTCACTTATTTCATCAAGCAGGGATGATTTCTGTGATGTTTTTTCCATAGTCGCACCTATTAAGCCTTCCTGCTGATCCGAATCCATAATTTTATCAAGTAAGGTCAGATTTTCCTGTAATGTTTCTTCCACGAACCCATAATCGGTTTGCTTTTGTCCTTTTTTCCTTTTGTTGGTTTTGGGTGGTTTATTTATTTTTTTATTTATTTTATTTTTAGTTGAGAGAGATTTCTTCTTCGTGTAACTCTCGGTAGTTTTATTACATTTTATTCCATCCTGATTTAGTTCATTTCCCAACTTCTCATTATCCTTGTTTTTATTTATCGAAGGTTTTGTTCCTTCACAATCTCCGCCACTGGATATAGTGGGTTCAGTCATTGTGGTTTGATGACTCACATGATAAAGATACGATTGTGTACCTGTGGTTTTTACCCCAGGAACCACTTTTTCTGCTAATTCACGCTTTAGCTCATTAATCTTACTCTCCATTTCTTTAAGAAGTGTGTTCTGTTTTTCTATAAGTGAATTCATTTCTATTTCAGAATCTAAAGCTTGTTGAATTGTAAATTCTTTGTCTTCTTTTAATTTCTGGATGTATTTATCCTTCATAGCTCCATCTTCAGCTAATTCACTTATTGTAATTTCCAATAAGTTCGTTTCATCTTCATTTCCACTTAC